TCACTCTCCTGTCTCTTCGTAGATACTTAGGCTGTAAGGTGTAAAACTGCCTCACTTCAGACTTACCGTTTCAGGCATTTCAGTGTGTAAAGTCCTAGTTATAACCTAGCACTGGCCCTGCCACTGAATATTTATTTATCATAGAGTAGACAAGGACAAAATAATACACAAAAGTTTCCACTAAAACAACACTACCACCACAAGTGGGTAGCTATGTGAGATGACAGATATATTAATTTGCTTCTCTATAATCATTTTCCTCTCTATGTGTATCTCATAATACCATGTTATATAACATAAATGTACACAGTAAAAACTATTTAAAAACAACAACAAAAACCAAAAACTATAGAAATCTGGCATTTAATAAAAGTAACCTGTTTAAGATCTGTATCTGATAATCTGCCAGATAACTAAGCTTATTATTCATCCAACATATGATAAATGACCTACCAGGCATTAGAATAGTTACTTTCTTTTTTTGTTTCTATCACTATCATCAAAGTGAAATGACATATGGCTTTAGCTTATAGCACATATTTCTAAAATAGATTTCCTTTTAATAATCTTAGTTAAGGCCTAAAATCAATAATCATACCACGATATACAGAAATCTCTACTAGCAAAACATATGTGTAGTTCTTACTGAAGAGATAATTAACTAGATCTTGCCCAAGCAAAACACTGTATGCATTTCCAGAAGTTTGCTGAGATCATGGAGAAAACTGTGATTTTCCAGTAACGTCTGCACTATATGGCACCAAATCTAGTCATAGCAGTTTTGTCAGGGTTATTACATGCATGATATGGCTCCAAGTATCACCATCTACCCTTTCAGAAACAAGCTAAGATGTGTTTTTGAACCAGATTTAATTGTAGCAAAGTGTACATGATTTTGTCTCATAAAGCTAACAAGGATGCTGAGAATGCAGCATGGTCTAATGTTTGAGATGGTCTTTGACTGCTAAGAAAAGAACAGACTCTGAACAACATCCAGTATCCATGGTAACATGTAGCCTGGCATTTTCTTTTCACAAAGAGGAAATTATTTCCATTTATTTACACTTTCAAGGATTTCGTGCATTATAATATCTGCATTTAACTCAAATCTAGCCTTGCCCTATGTTCCAAATCGCATTTTAGCCATTTTGCATTATGTAGTAAATTGGTTTCCAGATTAGAAAAACACTCTTAATCCAAGTAACAATGAATAATATAAAATCAAATAGAATTACTGATATCAATGACATATGACCTTATTTCTTCTTGGACAAAATGTGAAGGCAATAGTGAGAGTTAAAAATCATGTTATATTGTTGCATTTTGCTCATTACAATATTTTGGTTCATGGAATTTTCAAGTTCATGTAGAGTTAATCCATTAAATAACTGACCCTGTTAGAGAATTTTTTTCCCATTTTTATACAGAGTTTTAAAACATAATTTGAGAAAATATATGATTCTTCTTTCTTCTTCTCTGCCCCCATGTACCCTTCCTTGTCCTCCTCTTCCTTGTTATCCCTCTCCTTTCCTCCACCTCCTCCTCCTCCTTCTCCACAGTGAATGCGTAAGTAAATCAGGACATTTCATCCAGTTGTAGATGAATAGTAAAAGGGGAAAGCTGGAGTAATGATCTAACACTGCTGTTGGGAGAGGCCAGCCCATTGGCCTACTTCAAAGTCGAAAGGGCAGCTAGTATTCACTGATAACAAATCACTTGCTTTCTTCTCAAATCTTTGGAGCTGTTTTCCTGTACAGAGCCCAGCTCCCTAATAAGAGATCTTTAATTAAAATCCTCCATGTTGTGGATCCAGTGGATATAGACAGCCTTTGGTCAGCAAAAATGATCTGCAAGGTCTTATTTCCCTTTGACATTTAATACAAATGAAAGCAAAAAAACTCCCTATGCCCTGCAAATATGGGCAGATACATAACATTTCTGCTACATAACCAAACTCGGAGGTTTTCCTTTTTCCTTCAATCTATGTCAATCTAGGGGACCCCGGGATTTCCTCCATTCTAGGGATACACAGAATGTCCTCCCCAACACTTCTGTCTTTGAATTGCAAGTCTTCTGCTGTCTCCATAAAAAAGCTACAATGTGTAAGCCCACCCCATTTCAGGTTTTAACAGGTTGGAATTATCATGTGACTGTCTCTTGTCTCTGGCCATGGGAGCAGAGTTGTATAAGGAGCTGGATTGAGAGTGAGTGTCAGTCTTCTCACTTCTCAATTCTGCCACTGCCATCACCTGACCAGGTACATATAGACAGGTCACTTCACCTCTTTTTTTTTTTTTTTTTACCGTGTTATGATTTCAATTGTTTTGCATTTGCTGCACTTCACCTCTTGAGGTCTTCATTTTCTATTCTTAGATGATGGAAATTAGACCAGATGATCTGTACTGTGGATCTCACTCATCTTAGGGTCCCTTAAATTCTAAACTGTCTAATATTTTAATAAACTGTTTCTATATTCCCCACATCAAACAATAACTCCCCACATCTGGAAAATCAGTTGGTTAAAAATATATCTATTAAAAATCCAAATGGGCCGGGCATGGTGGCTCACGCCTATAATCCCAGCACTCTGGGAGGCTGAGGTGGGTGGATCACGAGGTCAAGAGATTGAAACCATCCTGGTAGGCGGATGGATCACGAGGTCAAGAGATTGAAACCATCCTGGTCAACAAGGTGAAACCCCGTCTCTACCAAAAATACAAAAATTAGCTGGGCATGGTGGTGCGTGCCTGTAGTCCCAGCTACTCGGGAGGCTGAGGCAGGAGAATTGCTTGAACCCAGAAGGCGGAGGTTGCAGTGAGCCGAGATCGTGCCATTGCACTCCAGTCTGGGTAACAACAGTGAAACTCCGTCTAAAAAAAAAAAAAAAAAAAATCCAAATGAACTGACCACACAAGAGCCTGCACATGTATGCTTATATCAGTGTTATTCGTAAGTGCGCAAATTTAGAAACAGCCAAGATTTGCTTCAATAGGTGGATAGATAAACAAACTATGGTATGCAATGGAATAGAATTCAGTGATAAGGAATAAGCTGTCGGGCCGAGCGCGGTGGCTCACGCCTGTAATCCCAGCACTTTGGGAGGCCGAGACCATCCTGGTCTACATGGTGAGACCCCGTCTCTACTAAAAATACAAAAAAAAAAAAAAAAAAATCAGCTGGGCATGGTGGTGCACGCCTGTAGTCCCAGCTACTCGGGAGGCTGAGGCAGGAGAATTGCCTGAACCCAGGAGGCGGAGGTTGCGGTGAGCCGAGATCGCGCCATTGCACTCCAGCCTGGGTAACAAGAGCGAAACTCTGTCTCAAAAACAAAAAAAAAAGAAAAAAAGAAAAGAAAAGAAAGAAGCTGTCAACCATGAAAAGACATGGAGGAACATTAAACACATTCTTCTAAGTGAAAGAACCCAGTCTGAAAGAACTGTATACTGTACTATTTCAGCTATATGACATTTTGGAAAACATAAAACTAAAGAGACATTAAAAAGACCAGTGGTTGCCAGAGGTAAAGGGGCAGGAAGAGAGGAATGATCGATGAAACACAGGAGACTTTTAGGGTAGTAAAACTATTGTGTGTGATACTGTAGTGGTCGATACATGACATTATACATTTGTCAAAACCCACAGAACCCATAATGCAGAGTAAACTCTCACGTAAACAATGGATCTTAGTGAATAACAATGTATCAATATTGGTTAATCAATTGTAACAAATATCTCACACCAGTGTATGATGTTAATAGCAATGGAAACTTTAGGGTAGCAGGAGGAAGCACATGGAACTCTATGCTTCCTGTCCGATTTTTCTATGAATCTAAAACTGCTCTAAGAAATAAAGTCTCTTAATTAGAAAAAAAAAAAAAGGTTTTAATCTTTCCTTAACAAGAATGGAGATTTATACAGTGGTTCCAGAAAGACATCAGCTCTTAACATTATCTCCTTATTAAGCATCCTGACTAGTGAAAGAGAAACTTCAGGATCCCACACATATAATGTAAATTGGATCTTGATGGCCTAGACCCTAGACCAAATCCTGCTTCTCAGATACTGACTTCTCTAACTAAAAAGAATTTAGGGTAACTCTCAGTTATAGACTGAATTGTGTCTGCTCTAAAATTCATATGTTGAAGCCCTAACCTTCAGTGTGTCTGTATTTGGAGATAGGACTATTAAGGGTGTAATTAAAGTTAATGAACTAACAAGAGTGGGGCCCAAGTCCAATATGAGTGGTGTCCATATAAGAAGAGAAAGAGACTCTGGGGTGCATGTGCTCAGAGAAAAGACCATGTAAAGACACAGCAAGAAGGGTGTTGTCTCTAAGTCAAGAAGAACAGCCTCAGAGGAAACCAAGCCAGCTGACACTGTGATCTTATATTCGCAGCATCCATAATTGTGAAAAAATAAATTCATGCTGTTTAAGCCACCCATTTTGTAGTGTTTTGTTATGGCAGACCTAACAGACTAACAGACTTTCACTCTGGTATTTTAATTTAAATAGCTCCCATTGTAACCATCAGTAAAAAATTTTATTTTCTAATTATTTTAAATTTAATACTTCATGCTGACCTGAAAATGAGTTTTCTTTCATTTTTGCAATTTTTTTCAGAAGTACAATTTTATTTTTTTCAAATACATAATGATACCAAACCAGTACCATAAGCATTATGTTGCAGGATTTCTCAGTGAATAGATGTCTGACTTGTGTGGTAGTTCACAGTGTAAGATCTGGGCAGAGATAGATTGTCCTAAACAGTTTATGTTCTTTAAATTGTTAAATATACCACAAAATACTACATACAAGATTCTTGAAAAATAGCCATTGATTGATCCAAGTGTTAGCAGCTTAAGAAATTTTGCTAAAAATTCATTACACCTATTCTATTAGAATCTTTATTATTTTTAAAAAAATCCTCTTACGTAACTAATATACAGAAAAATAAATTTCAAATTTTAACTAATGAAAGTTCATATTTTTTCAAACTTACCTTGTCTGAATATGAAAGTTGTTTGTGGTTCCTGTATGCTCATAATCATGAATGGCAGCAGCAAAGATCATTGCTAAAATTTCCAGTTCGGTGAGCCAGTGCTAGTAAATTAAAGAAAGAATCCATTATATTCAAGAAGTAGATACCATCTTTCCCTTCTTTGACAAGTATTTTCAGTCCACCCTGTATATGTAATCATATAAAATTATTTGTTATTTCTTTTCCTACTTTACCTCCACTGATTGTGCATGATGGATGCTTTATGAGGTCAATGATTGTTTCATGGCTAATAAGTTCAAAACTCAGGATATAATTGTCCTTGCTAATTGAAAACAAAGTAGTTTTCCATGAATTATAAGGTGAATGCTAACTGGATTTTGAATTTACATTTTAATGATGTATGAGCTATATGTTAAAATACCATTTTAAACAGGTTGGAATTATGATTTTAAATCCATTGCAGTTTAGTGATTTTTAACATATAGCTCATATATCATTAAAATGTCTTTTTAGTCCAAGTGTTGTAGAACAATCTACTATGACACAAATTTTCATCTAAAAATTAAAAATATTCACTTTTCTCACTAGAGAAAGTGCACTTTATTTTCATATTTAAAGATTTAGAAAAGTTTCTGGAATTCACAAAATTTTCTATTCATAACACACAAAAATGGTTGTGCAATTCAATAATCCAAAAAGAAAGAAAAAATACTTTCATGTAAAATCCATGACTATCTGCTTTATATACATTCATCTTTCAGTTGCTAATTAGATGCTTTAATAAAAGTTATCTACTATTATTAGTTCATTTGAAATAATTCAATAGTTTATTCATCACTCACATTTTGTAAAACCCTTATACTGCACTGGCCAGTATGATAACCACATGTGACTATTTAAATTGAAAATAAAGAAAATTAAGTAAAATTAAACTCACTTCCCAGTTACACTAGCCACATTCCATATGCCCATTGGTTATATGTGACAAGTGGTTACCATATAGACATAAAACATGAACATAAAACATTTCCATCATCACAACAAGTTCTACTAGACATTTAACCACAACATAGTTCTACTATAAATAAATGGCACTTGATGGTAGGAATGGAGAATCCAAATGCTGTAAAGCTCATTCTGAGTGGTTTTATTCTATACACTTAAAACAATAAAAGACCTTGAACAAAACAACAGAAAGAGATCATGTAAACTATATGCACACTAATAAAACTTTGCAGAAAAAGATGCAATTTAAGAGCATAGACAGAAGGGCTATTTGGTGGCAGTGGATCTTGGGAAAAGGATGGAAAAAGATTGATAGTTAAGTGCAAGGATGGAGACAGAGGAATTTTAAATAGGAAGAGCAAATGTCGAATCATACTACAGGGTCTGTATTAAAATAGAATTTTCAATAGCACAATTGTGTTAGAGAATCAAGTGAAGTGTAATTGAAGAGTATGGAGAGTATGGAAAGAGTTAATGGACTATGTTGATGATAACTGATGAATTTAGATTTTTTATAAAATATTAAAGAAAGCCATTGTAGGTCCATGAATCGAAAATGAAGGCAGTGGCAATGAATTGCATAGGTATGAAAGATATGGTCTTATTAATCTTAGCTCCCTTTACATAACCTGTCATGATATTTGGCACATATTAGGAACTTACTATTTGTTTGTTAAATCGCAATTTACTAGTTTTGCATTAGAAAGAAGTAACAGTGGTAAGAGACCATGGAATCAGTCCTGGTTTAAAATCTCTGTTAATCCTCAGGAAAATAAGTTATTTATCCTCTCAGCTACGGTTCTGGTGAAAATGGCAATAGTGATCTTTCCCCTGTGGAGTTTAAGAAGGAGTTTTGAGTAGATGTATGCACTGTGCCTATCATGTCTTGTCATATGGTAAAATAAAGAATGAATGGCATTTTGCTGAACTTACTGTGTTAAATGTATTAATTAAGGTATTAAATCTGGGAAATAATAGCTAACATATCATTAGTGATTGTAATTATGTATAAATGCCTTACAGTTGGATGAATGAAGCAGAAATAATTTTCAGAACCAAAGGCAGTTAATATAATTAGCTGTTCTGTGTTCACAGATGCATTTAATTGTGTGTCATTAAAAGGACGAAAGTGATCTTATGTTGGCTTATATTATAGGCTGAATTGGGATTGAGCCTCCAATGTTCCCAATGAAACTACAGAACTGAACACCATGAAATGAATAGCAATTGAAGTTAAACTAGTTTTGTACCCTAGAAAACCATTGTTTAATTAAAGCAAATGGTTTCTTTAAAAAAATCACTTATTTTCTTTAAATTTTTGGAGGTGTTCAAGTTATATATTTATAAATATAACTGTGGATTTTTTTTAAAAAGTAGGATTCAAGATCTACTAAGCTAATACAGAATATAAAGTGTCAATAGTAAAAGGAAATTATAAAATCAGAGATGGAATTAATTAGTGATTGACTCATAAATATTTAACATTATTATCTTGCTAGCTGTGAAAATTTATTATAAATATATTTCCTGTTTTTATTCTGGTTAATTTCTGCCTCCCATACATAAATAATAATTTCTCCACAAATCCCCCTTTGTTATTTTGCACTATGGCCTAAATCATTAAATTCCGCTACAAACTAGTATAGGAAGAGAGAGACACTGAACTTTAACACTTAATTTAAAAACACATCTACTTTGTATTAGCAAAAGTAGAGTTCTGGACTGATTGTTAGCTCCTTAGCTGCTGATTCATTTTGTACTGGTATCAAAAAGAATTCTAACTCAGAAAACAGGTGCTTAAATTCATAGATTTTATAAATGACTCCTGAGGGTAAGCCAGATAGAATGAGGCTAAATCCTGTCACTCTTCCCAACTATAGCAGTGGTCAATACAAATCCAAGGTTCTTCTGGTTCCTAAGGGGCAGAAATAAAGGGATAAGTCATGAGCAATGCAGACATTGCATTTAATCAGAATTGTAGGTTGCATTTTGTCTGGAGAAGTGCTCAGGTAGGCTTACTCTGGAGTGGGCAGTCATCAACTTATAAGGAGGTATTGACTGCTACTAACAGCAAATATTATGACAGAAACAAAGGAAGGGAATTAACATTAACTGGACACTTTAGTTAGCTGGTCTCATTTAATTCTTATAACCATTTTATAAGGTGGTTATAGATAAATATTTTTATAGCTATGATGCAGATAATAAAATTGAATCCTAGAGAACTGGATCAACATTTCAAAGATCACGTATCTATCTAGCGGAAGAGCAGGAATGCAAACCCAAATCTGTCTGATTTCAAAGTTTCTATTTCCTCCACAGATCACAATAGCATTTATCACATAAAGAAGGCAATATGTTGAACACCTTCCTCTAAAGTTTCAAAAGAAGAATTTCTAGCTAATTTTACTATATGAATGGGTAGAAGCAAATAGAGTTTTGATTTAGGACTTATAATGCATTTTTCATATCTGAATTACCCAGGATGTGTGTGTATTTGCCTGTGAGACAGAAAAACTCTCTATTTGTGTTACACATAAAGGGGGGAGAATTTAAAGTCAGAAAAACAAATTTACTTCTTAATTTTTTATGTATCTAAAAACACATAATTAACAACTCTTTTAGCCAGAATTTATGAGGTTGGGCACTATTTTTCTCTATCCCTTTGAATAAGCTAAAGTAGTTTGTTGTAAGTTACCAGTATAGAAAATTGGCATATACAATTAATTAATTAAGGTATGTTAATAGCTATTACGTTTTAGGTACTAGGTTAGGTGCTTTACAAATATGATTTTATTTACTTTTCGTTGCCATTCTATAAGGTGACTGACATTATTAACTGCATTTTAGTGACAAGGGAAGCAACAGAGAGCCAGTGAATTAGAAAGTGGTGGGGCGGGGGAGGACTCAAGATGGCACTGTGAGAACAACCCAGGATTGGAGCTATCGTTGAATCCGCCATTGTGGAAGACAGTGTGGTGATTCCTCAAGGCCTTAGAAATAGAAATTCCATTTGACCCAGAAATCCCATTACTGGGTATTTATCCAAAAGACTATAAATCGTTCTACTATAAGGACACATGTACACGAATGTTCATTGCAGCACTGTTTACAATAGCAAAGACCTGGAATCAACCCAAATGCCCATTGATAATAGACTGGATTGGAAAAATGTGGCACATATACACCATGGAATATTATGCAGCAATCAGAAATGATGAGTTTGTGTCGTTTGTAGGGACATGGATGAATCTGAAGAACGTCATCCTCAGCAAACTGACACAAGAACAGAAAATGAAACACCGCATATTCTCACTCATAGGTGGGTGATGAAAAATGAGAACACATGGACACAGAAAGGGGAGTACTAAACAGTGGGGTCTCTTGGGGGGAAAAGGGGAGGGCCAGTGGGAGGGGGAGGTGGGGAGGGATAGCCTGGGGAGAAATGCCAAATGTGGGTGAAGGGGAGAAGGAAAGAAAAGCACACTGCCATGTGTGTTCCTACGCAACTGTCTTGCATGCTCTGCTCATGTACCCCAAAACCTAAAATCCAATAAAAAATTAAAAAAAAAAAAAAAAAAGAAAGTGGTGGGGCATGTTTTCAAACCTATGTCTGACTGCTCTCTGAGTCCCTACTCTCTTTCCTCTTCCGAATAGTATCATATGGGAGCCGTTTATAAGAAGAGAATTTTCACATAATTTGTGGAAAGACATAGTGCTAAATGTTCCGTAGTTTGATCAGAGAGAGATATGGTCATTCCAAAGTATGGAAGACTGTTTCTGGGTATAGTCAGTGCACTGGAAATTCCAAAGGAACTAGATTTAAAGTCATCTCTCTTCCTTCTACTCTTAGTATTAGAGAGAACACAGTGCCAGGATGCAATGTTTTCTGGACAAGGCCCTTGGATAATTTCATATTCAAAAAGACATTTGAAGGTGGCTTGACAGCACTTTATAAAGCATTTGCTCTTTAGCAAATGGACTGAGTTACTGTGCTTCACTGTCACCATGGCCAGGACTACAAATGAATCAAGTGACAAAGGAGAGAGAGAGGGAGCCAAGAAGGTGTATGAGCATCAACTCTCCTTTGCATTGTCTACTCCCAGACTTGAGGGCGTCCCTTATGACATTAACAAACAGAAAGACAATGGCTTCATTGCAATCCCTTTCAGGCAGCAGTCCTTAAAACATCTTGCAGATGACAAGACGCATTAGTCTCCTGACAGTACTGGGCTGCTACTGGAGTGCTTCATAAATGTCACACTGATAGGGCCATCCTGAAATAGCAGGTCATCAACTAAAACACTAAAGTAGATGACCCAGTCTTCTTTATAACAAATCTGAGGGGTAAGAAAGAACTAAAGAGTTTTTGTTAATGAAAACTTTTATAATCCTTTTTTGTTTCAGAGAACCAACACATTTGTATGCATGAAATTTGTCAACTATCACCACTTTTTAATGTACACAAAACTTGTTAAAATAACTTTCCAAAAACTGTCAAGCTGAAAGTACAACCTAGTTTTGACAAAATAGTTAAAAACATTCGTAAATTCATTTTGTCTTTCCTTTCTCTGTCGATGGTAAAATTTCTCATTATTTTCTTTAGTTCAAATGTATTTTCTTTATTCTGGACAACACTAAAGGTCTACCACCAGACTATTTTTGTAACAGCCAAATTAATGGATAAGTAAAGAGCCAAGTGACACATTTTTGCTAAAGGATGAATAAAATTAGAAAGTTACATTTATATTTGGTAAGTCATGGCTGTCTCAGAAAGTGACTGTGATCTTTGCTAACAACTTAAATTTTCTAGGAGTCATGCCAGGCTGGGCCAAATTCCACAGTCTTACAGGGAAGTTGGAATGGCTTCTTTGGTCCTGCAACAGTCTATTTTATAAGTCTGAGGGTAAAGCCACATTGTGGATTTGATTTTCTCTATTTACCCAGTAATATGACACCTGCATCTCTTCAATGTCACCTTTATACCAGATGTCCTGAAGCTAATATAGGAGACTTTTATTTGGCTCCCTTTACACTTGTAGCAAGTGTAAAAAAAAATGTACTCAAGCAGAAACGTATTTTAAAATGATGAAATTCTGGTTACCTCCTAAGCTGAAAAGGCATTTTTTCACTGCACTTCACGATTAAAGCAGATGCTAAGATTTAGAAATCTCACACAGCCTGCTCCTTTTTGAACCCAGCTCAATTTGGCGCCTTCACAGGAAGGTCAGCTCCTCACATTTTACCTTCTGGGAATCCTCCTGAGTTCTAAGACATTAAAAAAATTCCCAACTCTCTGAGTTCCTGTCATACACTCACTGTTATTTCAGGCTTTGGATTGCTGAATCATGTAGTCACCCATTCACTGATTCATCAATTGCAAAGAAGAGGAAGGAAGATTTGGAAAAATTCACATGAATAATTTCCCCAAATCCATATTAGAATTTGACTGATTAGTAATACAAGTAAGAGAGCAAAAGCGACTAAGGTCAGGTTAGGAGCACATGATGAGTGAGAGAAGAGTGCTGTAAGTTTTATTCTAAAGACTTTCTCTAGCACACTTTTTTTGGTTGATCCCTATGGAAAAAAAGAATTTACAAACAAAAATGTTCTGTAGTCCAAGTTTTGGAAAACATGTATTTTTATTTGCCTCTGGTTATGTTTTTTGCACTGACTTAAAATATTTTTTGAAAAATGTATATTATAACTCATTAAACTTCAAAAATCCAAGTGACTGTTATTTATAATACTTCTTACTAATAATATGTCTATGGGCATTAAGAAGACAATAGGAACTTACAGGAATGGAAGTTAATGCTTCCAAACTAACCAACTCCAGTTACAAAGACTTTCTTACCATGATACCTGTATGAAGCATTATGTAATGCACAGTTTGAGTGACATCAGCTGCATGAATCAAATTGTGATATGGATTTTTGTACTTGCTGTAACCAACTTCTAAAGCTTCTGCAAAGGCAATTAGGCGAGACACAGGAATCTGTGGAAAGTAATAATTACAATTATATTTTGACAAAAAAGTCGTACTAAATCAACTTGAGCACAGTTTGTCATGGAACATATTAGTGAGTCAGATATGGACAGTAGCTTCTTTATGTCAAATGTAGATTGTTCTGAAAAACCACTTCATAAATATGTTAGCTTTCGATCCCAGAAAGACTATAACCCCCAAGTATTTAACTAGGACAGATGAAGTAATAGCCTTACTCACACTATAGCCTTGAAATTTTAATATCTTCCAGAGAGTAGGAAGACCAGTTCTTAAAAGGATAAACATTTCCACTTACAATTAGTAGCGTCTAGTTCTTCTATCTTAATACAAAGAGGTTAAAATAGATAACTTCCCCATACTTTATAGCTCTAACATTGTGATGATTCTACAGGAAATGAAGAAAGTAATAAGCTACAGACTGCTCAGTAGTCTGTAACAAATCTATTGCTTGGATGGATCTAAATGAAGTTAATTAAAAGCCCCTTCATTCTAATTTAAGAAAAGCTGGCAATAAAGGTTCATTCTGTTTTAGGAACACTAGAGATTGTCATAGTTCTTTAAGACATAGCTGCCAATCCCTATGTGAGTGTTTTGTAAATAAGTCAGGGGATGTTGGCATCTTGCTGGAATGAATCTACAGTGGCCTCACGATCTCTGGGTGGATATATAGATGTGTCAGATAGTTCTATCATGTGGTGACCTCATCCCTGTAATTCTGAGACCGGCTAACTAAAACATCCTAAAATGAATTGCTTAATACTCAATGTTCTGCATTTTCATTCTTATTCAAATAACCAATCCTAAGAGCATTTCACTTTTGTTCCCTGTTTCTGACCTTGAAATGGTTGATAAGATCATATCTGGTAAACAGTTCATAAATCATAAACTTCAGACTATGCTCTCCACTTGCTTCATTTAGGGCAAATACATCAAAAGACCATTTATCAACATCCTGTGGAAAAAATAATAAACATTTTAGGTGCCAATATCATACTGTTGCTTTTTATGAGAATTTATTCAAATGATAAGCCATTGTACATTTAGCAGATTGTCTTTCAATTTAGCATGTCAAACTACACTTTGACCAAAGTTTCATGGAACAGCACCACTTAGTATCCATGGGTCCACAAAAGTGAGGCCCTAATGCTTAATAAAGCACCAAAACCTTTTCTTTAATCCCAAGGTTACTAAACTGATTTAATACATTTGATAACACCATAATACTGCCCTTATCTTTAATCTTTCTCCAACTTCCTGCCATAAATCATTTCCCCAGAGTGGGCCTCAATTTAGGATAGAATTGCTAGCTACACAGGTGATGTCAATTGGGAAACAGAAGAAATAATCTGTTTCTCTTTCTTGCTCATGTGCTACATTGCTTGAAATTTCAACACAAGAGTTTGCAATTCGGCATAAAGTTTTGATACTCATGTCCTGTTTTAAGATGTAAATACCATAGGGCAGTAGAGTATATACTATCTTTAATTATTAAAAGGTATTTTTATTTTACACTACTTTTCACCTTATCTTTGGCTGACTTACCAACAATTTGCTTGAGGGACAGGTGGTGAGAAATAGGAAGTGGGCCTTTTAATTGAGGAATAGGATAGTAATACTTGCATTTCATGCAATTCCCAAGGTAAATAAGCAGGCTAATAGGGAAACTGGAAAGTACCCCCCAACAGTAAGAAAGGGCAGTGAGTAGAGACATAAACCGTAGCTACCTCATGATTTTGCTTTAGAAATCTAAAGAAGCACTATAGTCCATTCCAACGGTTATCAGAAACTGCTAGCAAGAAGGCCTACTGTTTATAAACATATAGTAGGTTTAGTATTGAACAGTAAGTGGGCAACCATAAAGCTATGCATTAATTTGTATTCGAGTAGGCATGTTTCAAATTTTATTCATTTAACACATTTTTATGGAGGCCAACTCTATGTGCTATAATATGCTAAGACTAAACTAAAAATCTGATAAAAAGTATTCAGTCTTTTAAAAAAAATGCTTCCTTCAAAAAAGAATAGTGAGAGCTTCAAATGCTATTTTTAATCACTTGAAAACAAACACTAATGAAATAGTTTCTGGTTTGCTTGTATGTCATTATTAAATTCCTCGCATTTGGCCCTTATTTGATCCCCAAATGCTTGCTTTATCTCTTTATACATTAAAAGTTATTATAAGGTCTGCTAGAAGGCATTTTACATCAGTAAATCTCAAAGGAGGCCAACAAATCTTTTATCAAACTCCAAAGCTAACAAACGAGAGTTAGTCCAGACTCTTAGAAGGCTGCTATTTATATTTACAGTTCCAACTTGGGGGTTCCCAATGGGTAAAAGGTTAATTCTTTATTTCTTGAGAATTTTTTATAAACACTGATGATTTACATTTGTAAACTTCTGCAGATGCTTGGCTTTTATGCCATCAGATTGAGAACAAACAAGACAAGGAGGCTTCCCAGAAAATAAGAATTATTTAACTGAACATTCTTTACTTGGTGATATTCCCTCTCTCAACCTGTTAGTTTATATCTTTTTACTATATGACATTTTAGAAAAAAATACTACATTCTCTCATACTAAGATATTTTGTTAGTTGGTTTTTAAGCAAATATTCTCAAAATTAATAAAAATGAGTAATTTTCTTGCTCATTGTTAAGGAAATAATAGAGAAGGCAAAATTGCCCAAGAACCAAGGAATGATTAATATCCTTTAATGCAGCAGTCCTCAACATTTTGGCACCAGGGACTAGTTGTGTGGAAGCAAATTTTTCCACAGACTGAGTTGGGGTAGGATGTTTTTGGGATGAAATTATTCCACCTCATAAGGAGCGCACCACCCTCGCACGCATAGTTCACAATAGGGTTTGCGCTCCCAAGAGCATCTAATGTCCCCTCTGATCTGAGAGGAGGCAGAGAAACCCAAATATAAAAAGGCACCCAAGAAAAATGAACTACCTTTTACAATTAATGAGATTAAAATCTAATATGCAACAGAGAAAAAACAAATGCAAAGATGCTTAAAGGAAAATTTTTAGAAACACAAATTTAAAATTAAAAAAGAAGCACAATAAGTCAGAAATAAATCAGCACAAGATCTGCCACTGACAACATCCTTTAAATTCTTGGTTAATGCAGAAAAACCACCATGAAGACATTTTAGAAGACAACATTAAATTCCCTTAACCAAATTAGGTGAGAGAAAGCAACAAGGAATTTAGAAGGAGAGGCCTACAAAATGCCTCTATAGATATAACATTTAGAAAGAATGAACATAAACACCACACACAAACACACACACATAATGGGGAGAAGTATGTGAGCCAACAATTTTACCCACTTCGGAGTTTCAACTCTAATAATTTCTAACATATGTAGCACTGCAGTTGGGCCTTAGAATAGTGTAACCCCAGGAGAAGCCAAAGACAAGAGAGAGAAGTTTTTTCTTTCTTTCTTAATTTTAGCTTACATTTTTGTATTTTTTCAGATCTACAATCCTGAAGAATTTCATTCTATATGTTTTGTCATTTAAATATAACTGACTAAAACATCTTTTCATAACATGCATTTAACTCTTCCATAATATATTCATAACAAAATATGTACATTCTGACAAGTATAGTACCATCTCAAAATGAATTCGAGATCCACAGAAATAAAATTAAGAAAAACAATCACACATGTTGTGCATACAAACATGTATATATATGTGTTGATGTCATTTGTGTAAATCAGTTATCATTTAAGTCTATGATGAGTCATGATTTGGAACACAGTTCATTTTTTAAATTGTTAGAATATGCTGAATGTTTTAACATTCTAAGATGTAGGCTGCAGTAAAGACCTATTCTCATTTTCTCCTAGCCTTTTTAAGAAGATTTTTTTAAATGATTATTTTATAAATAAAAATAATTGAAATTATTTCACCTTTAATGTTACCATGACAGCTGCTGGATATGCCAAACCAACCATATGATATGTTTTTCGGTACATCCTAAAAAAGACAAAATGTATACATAAAATTCAAAGTTTACAACTACTTCTTAAATTTAAGGGAAAAAAATACTCTTGATATGTTCGCCTCTTATCATTAATTACAGACTCCCTTTGTGTCAACAATGATAACTGTGGTCACCTTTTACTAATCATCTACAATGTGGCAATGTAATATATTTTCTACTCACAATCACCCTGTAAAGTTAATGTGACTTTAGTTTCCAAGCAAAGATGCCCTTCCCTGAACTTTATCGTATTAAACGATACACTGCACTTTGCATATGCAACAAATTTCTAACATGCTACCATATCTCTGACAGCAGAATATACTTGTTTTGTGACCATTTATATGGCAAAATGGTTAGTCTGGAAGCTAAATGTCATTAAAATATTTCTTTTATATTTTTAAATTAAAATTACAGAGGGGAATATGTAGTGTCATCAGAATTTATACAGCTCCCTTCTTTTATTTAATGATATTGTGGATCATCAGAATTTATACAGCTCCCTTCTTTTATTTAATGATATTGTGGAAATCATATTGGCAAAAATTGTTCCAATTGTCATTCAATATTATTTAAGAAAGATTATTCTGAAAGAAAACAAGTTTATCTTAATTTCCATAATAGTATCAAAAACAAAGGTGGTTTTTCTTTGTTTGTTTTTTTTGTTGTTTTGAGACAGAGTCTCGCTCTGTCACCCAGGCTGGAGTGCAGTGGTGTGATTTCAGCTCACTACAAACTGCCTCCCGAGTTCAGGCCATTCTCCTGCCTCAGCCTCCTGAGTAGCTGGGATTACAGAAGTGTGTCACCATGCCCAGCTAACTTTTGTATTTTTAGTAGAGACAGGATTTCACCATGTTAGTCAGGCTGGTCTCAAATTCTGACTTTGTGATCTGCCCGCCTTGGCCTCTCAAAGTGCTGGTATTACAGGTGTGAACCACTGCGTCCAGCCAACAAAAGTGTTTTTATTAATAGGTAATTTGAATTTTTCCATCTTCTGCTGGGCAGCCCAAATGACATAAACCAAATATAAGAACCCCCTCCACGTGAGAAACAAATCAATATGATAGCCTAGCGTGTGAAATAGCTCTAGTGCTTCTATTCAGGACTCTGAAAGAAACATGTTTCCTCCACCAAGGCCTGGGAAAAAAGAATTCAATTGATTATTAATCATATCCCTTAATTTTTATACCAGGTTAGTCCACAACAAGCTGCATCCCCAGCCTATATGGCTTTAAATTCTCCCTACAAAAGGCCTCGACAACACCATAAGTTAATTAAGTATCATGATAAATATGGTCAATGTAAGAATGGTCACATGGACAATATTCTTCATCTTTTATAAAACCACTATAGAAGATACTAAATTTTTTGATTCACTGTTCCTTATGTTAAAAATGCATGGGACATATTACTCCCTATGTAAAAGCTCATTTGTTAAAGATAATCAAAGCTAAGCGATTCATTATGCTTTCCTTTTAAGTCTTGACTAGTTCGAAGCTCAGAATGAAAATATTGTTTTTATTACCTTTCTAGCCTAGGCTTTCTTAATGAAATGTCTGTCCATTTTATTCTAGAGACCTTAAGCACAAAGATTTCATGCTTTCACTTTATGTTTATTTTAAGCAATTATAAATTATTTTTGGATGTGGGTGATCAGGTAGAATAAGAAATAATCCCACATCTCTATTGAAAGATTTTAGAACAGTTATAGCCAAAAATACTTATTAATTACTCAATTGATATAGGTATAATTATTCTAATCTTGCAAAGCAAGGAACTACTAATCCTACTATATAAGATATAAAATAATTACTATCAACAATGATACTTAGGTGTTTTTTTTTTTTTTGGAAACAGTCTTTTCCACCTGTTTCTAGTCATTATTATTAATACTAAAAAAATGGAAGTGCAGGGAAAATGGAAGGATGATAAACAGGGAAAAGGGCTAATATAAAAATCATTCAGGAATAAATTTTAAAATGTTAATTAACATTATCTTGGCTTGACTTCATGGCACAGAAAGGCAAAGAGAGCACACGCTTTGAATCACATGTTAGCCACTCACTGCTGTGTGACCTTTGGAAACTATTTAATATCCCTCATTTGTAAAATGAGAATAATTATAAGCTTTTTGTGAAGAGTAACTTATTCTTAATATAAGAAAGCCATATTTTAATTATTATTGTAACTATTACAATAGTGGGACCTCTGATGCTACTGAGTTTCTTAAACTTGGGATAGATAGAGAAATGAATAGCAATGTACTTTCTCATTACATGGAATGTAAAGGAAGACAAAGAAAATTACCTTTCCAAAAAGATAGCAAAACTTTCCCATTTTCTAATTCTATAATCAGGAATAGAATTCAAGGATGGAAAATTAGAAACAGAAAACTAAGACGGAAAATTAAGATGACCCATCCTTGAATTAGAATAAGCATCAGAGATACTTTAATGCAGTTGCCTCACACTTTAGTAAACGAGTGATATATTACAAGTTTCTGAAAAAGGATAGTGAATTTCCTAAGCTCTTAGAGGCAGTCAAAGTCCAGCTGGAAATGTAGTGGATTATTTTTGGAAGTTTCTAAAATAATCACAAAATACAATTTAAAAACTCATAAAAAATAATATTTGAAGTCCAGGCACAATGGCTCACAGCTGTAATCCCAGCACTTTGGGAGGCCGAGGTGGGTGGCTCACCTGAGGTCATGAGTTTGAGACCAGTTTGGCCAACACGGTGAAACCTCCTCTCTACTAAAAATACAAAAAAAAATTTAGGCAAATGTAGTGGCATGCGCCTGTAATTCCTGCAGGAGAATCTCTTGAACTCGGGAAGTAGAGGTTGCAGTGAGCTGAGATTGCACCACTGCACTCCAGCCTGGGTGACTCCATAAAAAAAGAAAAAAGAAAAAAAGAAAACAAATAAACAAACCAAACACTATTTTATACCAGGCACTCTGTGAGGCAACAGACTTATTTAGTGGAAGGTAAGGAAACTATTGTTGCTGTTTCACAGGGCTTATTCCAGTGGTGAAGAGAAATTTTAAAAATAAGAGACAATATATGATTACAAATAGGGATAAGGGCTAGGAGGTAAACCACTGGCTGGGGCAGCAATAGTGAGGAACAGCATAGAGTGGTCCAGGAAGACCTCTGGAATGGTAATAGGGCCAGCCTGCCATGTCGAAGGGTGGGGAGAACCACTTCTGACAGAGAAAACAACAGGATGAATGGCTCCAAAGCAGGAACAGTTTTAGAAATGTTCTTGAAATTGAAATCAGGCTGGTATACATGTTCAGTCAAGGATGAAGGTTGTAGTAGATGAGGCTAGAAAGTAAAAATGGACCTAACCAGGCTCAAGTGAATTGGGAAACTCTGTGATGGTTTGAAGCATAAACGTGACAGAAATTAATTTATATTCTAAAAACATCACTGTGGAATGACTTGGTTGGGGTGGGCAAGTGAGGAGGAAAGGAGCCCAGTTAGAAAGCTGCTGTCATTTTTCTGACAGCAGATAGTGGAGTCTTAGATTGTGGTTGCAGGAGTGGAGATGAGGAAGTAACTGGATTCAGAATGCATTTGGGTAAGTCGTTGCCAGGACTTGCCAGTGTATTGAATCTTGGGAGAGTGTTTGAAGGAAGAAGCAACAAGACTTCAAGCAGACTTTCAGTGGTCAGGACTGAAGATGACTACTTTTGAAACTTTACAATAAACTTGTCCCACTATTTTTATGCACCTGCTAGTGAGGATTCAACAGTGATAAAAAACACTATTTTCATATGTTCTTAGCACATTGATTTCTTAAAGACTGCTTACTAATTTAGTTACCTTAAGTACAACTTGATACTTTCATAAGCTACTAAATAAAATGTGTTTTATGTAATATATGAAACAATTGAAATTTAGCATATTCATATATTTTATATATTATAGCCTTCTCTTGAATGGAAATGGAAATTCAGCTGCTCTTCCACAGTTTACATTTTTTCCCAGTTTGCCAAGTTCTGCAATTTTTTTTTAAACAAAAAGGCAAAATATACATTCCTTTGACAAATCAAACATACTCTCACGTTTTATCTGTGATTCTCTCACAGATTTTCTGATATACTATTTAGTTTTTTTTAATTTGATGCTAGAGAAAAGTCATCTTTAAATTGCGTAGTATATTTAACCATCTAAGTTGTATAATATATTTCATGCCATGCATTCTCTTTTACATTTACAGATATTCATCTAGTTGTGCATTTTTTAGTGAGTTTCTTAATCCTGGGTTCTAATTTGATTGCACTGTGGTCTGAGAAACTGTTAGAATTTCTGTTCTTTTGCATTTGCTGAGGAGTATTTTACTCCAAAATTATATGGTCAATTTTAGCATAAGTGTGATGTGGTGCTGAGAAGAATGTATATTCTGTGGTTTTGGGGTAGAGAGTTCTGTGGATGTCTGTTAGGTCCTCTTGGTCCAGATCTGAGTTCAAGTCCTGGATATCATTGTTAATTTTCTGTCTCATTGATCTGTCTAGTATTGACAGTGGGGTGTTAAAGTCTCCCACTATTATTGTGTGGGAGTCTAAGTCTCTTTGCAGGTCATTAAGAAGTTGCTTTATGTATCTGGGCGCTCCTGTGTTGGGTGTGTATGTATTTAGGATAGTTAGCTTTTCTTGTTGCATTAAGCCCATTACCATTATGTAACGTGCTTCTTTGTCTCTTTTGATCTTTGTTGGTTTAAAGTGTGTTTTATCAGAGACTAGATTGCAACCCCTGCTTTTTGTTGTTGTTGTTGTTCTCCATTTGCTTGGTAAATTTCCCTCCATCCCTTTATTTTGAAATTCAGATGTGCTTTGCATTGTCCCTTTAGCAGAAAAAAATTAAAGTTTGTAATGTTTATTAAAGGTAATGCCTAGAGATATCAGAAGATGAGAAAAAATGTATTTTCTCTAAAATTTAATTTTAAGCATATTGGCAAAAACGTTTCTCTGTTCCTCAACTTTATTAGTTTCTAAAATATTCAAATAATCTTTCTACATATAATTTCATATAATTCTTTTTTAATCTAAGGGATTTCAGACAACTACTTTTCAATTTTGCCAAATATAAAATGTTTATTTTGGTTCTTTTTGTAGTTTCAGTTCTAGGAAACATCTTGTTTCCTCAGTGGAAAAACAAGCTGTATTCTTAAGGGTTGAAAGAATGTAAAATTGGGTCATATTAACAGGTGTTTCACATTGGAAACACTGATGATGTAACTAGGCATTTCTAGGGGCCATCAAATATCCCTTGACATATTCAGTGACAGAAATGTTGGGAAAAAAAAACTTATCAAAAGTGATCATGAGAGAGATTTCCTCCTATTATGGAAAGATAGGAAGAGAATGCTCTTCTGTCTTTAGGGCAGAGAAAAGCCTGAGCGATTCTGAGAAGTGGATTGCTACCCAGTGTAGAGTGTATTTAATGAAATGTTTCATTTTATTCAGGTAAAATTAGTTGTGTAACATATACATGTGTCAGAATTATTTTTAAACAATTGTTCACAAAGGTTCATTTGAGGAGAAAGGCCATTCAAAAGTTTTTGCTTTCACTCTTCATGTCAACTTAAAATAAATAAAAAGAATGCATCCAGCACTAGGTGTTTTTGTTATAGGTAAGGTAAGTTCATGATAAAGTCTCAAATTTGTTCATTCTAGTTGTAATTATGATTGCAGTTTTCCTCAATAAGTGAAATACAGACTGCTCATACCTTTGCTAAAATGTGCATATCTACTGCCTTTCAAATATTACTGTCTTGGAATAACAACAATTTCACTTACCTTTCCACAAAAATTCCAGCTTGAACAGCATGCACAATGCTCCGAAATTTGGGTTTTTCCTCAGGTTTCTTTTTTGTCACCCCCATTTTCCGTGTAAAGGTAGATGCCAACCAGTACCGAACTTCATATGGTACTGAGTCAGTCTGAATGTCACTGAGCTCATCTTCAGTATCCAGAAGTCTTCTACAAAAATTTATACAGATTACACATATTTAAAAAGTGAAGAAAAATGGGTAACAAGAAAGCAAGTATTGCAATGGGATGTAAAATATAGCAAATCACTCTGATTATTCCTTAAGATGTACTCTCTAAAGAAAGAAAAAAAAATTCATTAACATTGGGAAAGCTCTTAATTTCTCAAATTGATCATACAAAGGCAACAACTAATAGATTTGACCATTTGCAGTTTCCCCAACATTTCAGTGCAATTATACACCAGTCTAGAAGTACCTACTGTAAATATCTTTAGTGTGCTATTCTAATAATGAAAACACTAAGGAAAGATAGGTAAGAGAATTCATAAACAGATGTCTGCTGTTAAAGGAAGCAACTGAAATGGAAAGAAAAAGGAGGGATTGAATTTGTAATAGCTGTCATATTTAATAATCTTGTGTATACCTTACATGTAGTACATGCTATTTGAATAAGGCTTTGCAATTTATAAAAGGCCATTCGTAGGTGCAATTTCATTGGATAAATACCTCTGAATTTCAGGAAAACAAAAACTTAAGTGTTCTAAAAGATCCATTTTATCAATATCACGGATTATAAAAGGAAAAAGGAAATGAAAAGAATGAAAACACATGAAAAGAGATTACGTTTAAAGCTCATTTCAGGTGACCAAACAGTCTAAAGAAAAGCGACACCTTCAGTGGGATGGAGAGCGCATGGGTTTACAACTCCTGGCCAAGGAAATCAACTCAGTGAGTGAGGCAGTGAACAGGAACTGAAACCACGACCATGCTCCTGTATAAGCTCCAGGTAGATAATGTTGACTGGACCGCTGAGCAACAACAGCTGCCATAAAAGAGGAAACTAAGGAAACATCATTGTTTTAAGGCTGGTCAGCTTCAGCTGTCAAGAACTTCCTGAAGTTCTGAACTGGCAACATCCCAGAGATTCCCCACCAAATACAGAAACAACTTGCAGAACAGTTGAGCTCTGCCTCCTGGAAGAATACAGGCCAGCTCTGCCTGTAATTTGACTCTGTTCTTTCCTTATCTGTGCACCAACCCAAAAACTCGTTTGGCACATGTTAGCTTTAACCTTTGGATTTCATCTGCTTTCAAAAATCTCTTTGCACAGACCTAGGCTTAAGGATTATGAGCAGATGTTGGAAGGTGGCCAGAGATGGCTGTACGTACATGCTAATGCCTTGGACACAAGGCACGGGCCATCTCAAGAAGCAGGGACAAAACAAATGACAAAAAACAAGATATCTCCACAAAGATCTCAACCTGACCAAAGAGAGGCCCAAAAAGTAATATGCAGAAGAGCAATTCTTCGTGTTCCTTTAAATCATCTCCCATATGTGCTGCTGCTGTTTTCTATAAATTTGCCGAAGAGTCATTTGCTAATATTTCTTTTCCATGATATTAAACAAGCATGAATGCATTTATAAGATGCCTTATGAAAAAAATAAACATAAGTGCTGGAATCACAAAGATACACATATACATATAAAGATTAAAAATATTTACAGTTGGATGTTAATACTGATTGATACTTACCTTATAAGATTTTTAACTTCCTTTCTGTACATGTTGATGATTTTGATTTACCCCTAAAACACTGAACTTGAAAATTAAAGTAAAATTGTTGTTTCCCTTTTTGCCCACTTGAATTTAGATTCCTTAGCCCATTTCAACAACTCACTACTCTACATGGCTCAAATACAACCACAGGGTAGGTAGGACAGGTGGAATAGGAATCACTGTGGTGTAATATTGTGATGTCACTATGTTCCATGCATTCCACTGCAGCCTAGTTTTGTCAACTAATCTCCTTAGAATGAAAGAAACCTGGCTGTGGGTGCCAATTTCTCCACTGTCAATTTCCTGTTGATGGCTTTAAGGCTATATGTTCTATACTCATAAATGATGCAAGAGAGATCATCAAAGAAGACAAAACCAGCATACGGAAGTGATATTCCACACAGTGGAGTGGTACTTAGGAGGCCGGCAATCCTTAGTCATGATACATGAGGTTACTCCCTGAGAAGAAAGTGCATATAATTTTAGAGAGAAAGAATGATATGGATTAATTAGGGATATACAAATAAAGAAAAAAGTGCGTTAAGGGAAGAGTGTGGAGTGTGGTGTTGTATAAGTTGAAAAGGGAATCTTGCAAAAGCAACAACTGTCTCTATAAGGTTTAATTTTATGTGTTGACATAGGTAGGTTATGGTGGCCAGTAGTTTGGTCAAACACCAATGTAAATGTTGCTTTGAAAGTATTTTTTAGATGTGATTAACACTTAAATAAATAGACTTTGAGTAAAGCAGATTATCCTTTAAATTATGGATAAGCTTCATCTAACCAGTTGAAAACCTTAAGAAAAAAGAAAAAGTTCCCCAAAGAGAAAGAAATTCAGCTTTCAGACTGTCTTTGAAATCAAGTGTGCAACACTGACTCCTGCCAGGGTTTCCAGCCTGCCAGTTCAGTTTGCCTTGCAAATTTCAGACTTGCCAGCACCAATATCACATGAGCCCCTCCCTAGAATCTCTCTCTCTCTCTCTCTCTCTCTCTCTCTCTCTCTCTCTCTCTCTCTCTCTCTCTCTCTCTCTCTCTCTCCTCTCTCTCCTCTCTCGTGTGTGTGTTGTTGTGTACCTGTTGGTTTGGATAAGAAATAATCTTTCCATCATTAATGAACACTGTGTGATAACTACCAGTGTAGGTTATAAACAAAATAGAAGATAAAGACTCAGTTCTTCATTAATATTCACTTAATAGAACGTAACAGTCCTATTTCTTGTGTAAAAATCCTATTTGCAATGGATGAAAATGCCTTTTTAGCAATTACATATCTAAACACAATACTGTTTAAACATTACAGAATTATTGTCAACTTAAATGAAGTGATTAAAAATTGAAAAAATTAGAATGGTTACCTCTCAGGTAGAATTTATATTTTAAAAGAAAGAGACTAAAAATAAAATAATGTAATATAAGGTTAATTATGAGAGGAAACACCACTTTAGATCAGATGCTAAGAGAGTTAAGACCTGAAGAATGAGAAAGAATTAGATATAGGAAAGTCTGGGGGAAGTCTGTTCTATCTATTCCAGACAGAAAGAAAGGCAAGCACAAAGGCCCAAGGCAGCATCAGTATGGGTGTGTTTGAGGGAACAGGAAGGAGGCCAAATTTGGTGGAGTATACTGAATGAGAGAGAGAGTGACTCAAGTTGAGAGACAAACAGAGCTATAAGTCAGCTAATACCAGGCCTGGGAAGGATTCTGTCATATTTGCAATGGCAAGTCATTGTATTGTTTTAAGCAGAATGTGATACGATTTATGTGTCTAAAATACTAGTGTGCATGCTATGGGAGGAATAGAAAAAGTTGTAAGAATGGTGTTTTGAATTTAGTTAAGAGGCTACCATTAAATGAGCACAATTGCAAAAATGGTCTTTGATTTTGGAAGTTCACTGCTTTTCAAAGACCCTAATTGGTATTGAGTTGGGCATCATTTTTTCTGTAAACATATGGCTCAAAGTGTTAATGGTGTATTATTAATGTTTTCTCAGATTATACTATTTTTTTCTGTTCCATTTGTTTGCTTCTCTTCTTTGGGGAAATAGATTATGCCTATCAGGGATCTCTTTTTATCTAGTTTTCATATCTATCATTTTTCCACCAAATCTTTTTTGGAAAAATTAATCTCTTAATCTTACACTGTTTTGTTTACCTTTTTCTTTTTTAAAAAAACCTTTAAAGTGTTTTATTTGTAAAACACTATACTGTGTTTTCAGCAATGTCTCTTTTAAGTTCTGTGACTTTAAGCTTGGCTCTCTCTACTGGGTAGCCTAGTTTTCCTTTTCCATTTGCTGACCGACTTGTGTGTGCCCACGTTTCACCTCCTTATATTATCATATTATTTATCTCTTGAAATCTTTTTCTTTGTCTTAATTGTATTATTTTTTTTCCTACAGAATTGATGATTTCATGAAGTTCTTGGGTTCTTAGGATGAGTGCACAGATTTGTACATTCTGCTGGCATGGGATCTTTGTTGTGTTTTTCCCTATCCTTTCCACCTTTGTTCTTGTGGTATTTTTGGTATGGATTCTGTGTTTGTTTCTTTTTGAGACTTGTTCAGTATTGTATGAGAAAACTTCTTTCCAAATCAGAAGGTTGAAGAGAAGGACCAGGAGCACAGGTACAGCAGAATGGAAGTGAATCTGGGTATGAGTTCAGATATGTGTCCCTGTGTGTAAAAACTGACTTAAATTTCTCCTCAGCTGACAGAAATAGTAGCTGCAGGTCTGTTTCTCAAAGATTTTTCTCTGCTCTACAGCACTACTGCAACAATGGCCTTTGAGATCTCCATCTGCCTGTGCATTCGTCTTTCCTACTACAGTGTGTGAAATGGGGGAAGCCTCTATAGTCAGTCAACATACCTTGACCTTTTTATTCTGGGCAAGAAGTTTCTAATTTTTCCTTTTTGAATGAGTGGGATTATCCAGAGAATTCTGTACTATGCTATCCCTTCCTGAGAGCCACAATCTCAGGCACTTTCTTCATTTAGACTTTACTTTTTAGGCTTACAGAAAAATCGAGTGTATAGTACAGAGAATTCTCATTCATCTCATCTCCACTCCCACTTTCAACAGTTCCCCTATTATTGACATCTGGTATTATTGTGGTACAGTTATTTCAGTTGAGTTTACATGAGGACTCACACTTTCTGTTGTACATTCTTGGATTTTGATAAATGTATAATAACATATATCTACCATTACAGTATCATACAGGGTAGTTTCTGCCCTAAAAAACTCCCTATACTTCATCTATTCAGCCTTCCTTCCCTCACTTCTGGTCCCTGGCAACTACTATCCTTTGCTGTCTCCTTAGTTTGGCCTTTTCCAGACTATCAGATACTTAGTATCATATAGTAAAAGGCTAGACTTTTTAATATTGGCTTGCATGTCTTCTCATGGCTTCATGGCTAATTTATATTGCTAAAT